AAGCTGGTTCCATGGGACATGAGTGGTGCGGTGAAGGATCTAGACCGTACGTCGACTAGCGCAGGAGAGCTTACCTAACGCGTCTGACCGGCGTCACGAAACGGCTCCCGCGTCCCAAGATTCGCGCCCAGCGCACCCGAATCAAGATATATCGAACACCGTGGAGCCTACATTGACGCGACGTCTTCTTGTTTGCTTCCTGTTGTTCCCTTGTAGGCTGCAGGCCTGTTCAGGTTTTTTCGTTGTGTCAAGTGATCGCAACGCCACGAAACCTTGGAAGAACACCAAACATGGCACCGCCATACTTTCCCGCGTCGACCAACGGTCAAGACACCGCGCCGCCAAAATCATACTACGAGCAACAGCGCGAATTGCTCGTCACGGAAATTGCCCAAGTACGTGCACCCATCCAGTCCACCACGGAGCGCACCGCAGCCCTCTGAATCCCAGCTTCTACACCGGTTTATACTAACCAACGGCCAGAGTCTAGAAGTCGTCCTACAAAACATCAACAAGCTGAACCGTTCGCTCGAAGAAGTCACATCCGTCGGAAACGAGTTCGCACCCGTTGAGTCGCTATGGAGTCACTTTGAGAACGTCATGGCCAAGGACCCGAGCGAGCAACAAGAAGGACCACAGGAGGGCGCAACGGAACATGAAGGCGAGACGGAAGTGCCTCAGGAAAGGAAATGAGCGGTCGCAGGGAGACAACCTTGTTAGTTTGCGATGAACAACAACGCGCCCGGAGGTGCACGGCCAGCCGTCGAACAGACCATGGCGTTAATGGTTATGATGTAATGATACCCCAGAGCGAGTCAGTGGCGCCGTGCGCGACACCAGGGGATCGCAGACTTCACGTTGTATTATACCTTTACACGGAAGATACACATATGTATGATGTTTAAGACTAAGGTATGCACCATTTCACGTGCCATGTACATTTGGGCGAAAGCATGTAGAAGGCGGTCAGCGACGCGAGTTCTGTCATCGGCTAGCGACGATCAATTTAGAGAAAACAGGTTTCAGAAATATGTTTGATTTACTTCCCCGGCGCAGGCAAATTTGATCGCCCACTCGCGCCATGCATACATACAGAATGCCGAATACAGATACAGGGAAAGAAAATGCTGCTACTGTGGACTATGGAATCGCTGCGTCCATTCTCATGCCAAAAAGGAAACCCAAACGCCAGGCGGCCATGTACATGTAAAGACTTCCCTAGGATTAAGAGGAAGCGAACATGCCCGGACAAGTGGTGGAGGTGAGCCGTATGTCATTAAACATCTTGATCGTGTCGTCCAGCGTCGTGAATCTCGATATGCTCTCCTCTCGATAGACACAAACAAACTATAGGACCTTGCAGCCGCTGCGCTTCTTCTTCTTACCGCCCCCAGCAGGGAACGACGACGTGTTCCCTCTTGACGAGGTCGCTGTGCCGACACGGCGCTCTTCTTGCTCCTTGTGCTCCTCGCCGACGGCCATTGTGACGGCCATGTCGAAGATCTCTTCTACACCGTCTTGCTCTTTACTACTGCACTCCATGTAGGCAGCGCCCATTTTCTTCGCGACCGCACGACCTTGCTCCGATGTGACGGGCGTCAGGCCTTGTGTCTTGAGTAGCTCGATGCAGTTCTTCTTGTTGCGCAAGTCGGACTTGAGGCCCAAAAGCATGAGCGGCGTTGTTGGGCAGAAGTGGAGAACTTCTGGGTACCACTGGATGCTGTCAGCTGATGTACGAGGTATATGAATCGAAGTATCTTACCTTGTCCATGACGTTTTCTAGTGAGTTGGGGCAGTCAATCGCAAAGCAGACGAAAATGACATCTGTCTCTGGGTAGGAGAGCGGTCGCAACCTGTCGTACTCCTCCTGTCCAGCGGTATCCCACAGCGCAAGTTCGACCATCTTGCCTGTGGGAGGATGAGGAGTGTGAGTGATGTAGTTCTCAAAGACTGTTGGTACATATTTCTGCAGTCGCATTAGAATCACATGACATGTCTTTTCTGCTGGTGGTACATACCTCTGGAAAGTTGCCGGAGCTGTAGCTGATCAACAAACATGTCTTTCCGCATCCACCGTCACCGACAACAACGAGCTTCTTGGAGTAGGCTGGTGGTTCGGTGATGGCTGTGTCACGCGTGTTGGTGGTTCCATATGAGCTAACGGTGCCATTGCTGTTGCGCTCGCTCGGTGTGCGGGCGTGGCTGCGGACTGGTGTGATTGATGAAACGGCCGCCTTTGTGCTCTGCTTGCGCCGGAGGTAGTCGTAGTTCTGGGAAGGTGCGGTGGCCATGTTTGGAAGTGTGCGGGATGTGTAGTCGTGTCCTGTTTCAGACGAGGTTATCAATACGGAGAAGGAAGATGGTGTTGGAGTTGGTGTGGGGAGCGAGTGGTCGAGGCTTAAGAGAGGTGGATGTTGACTGTTAGAGGGCTCGGTCGCATATGGCAACCACGCTACGTCTCCAGCGGCTCGCTAAACTAGCGCCAAGTTGCAACGTGCCTGTCCATGTCTATCGATCGATGGCATGCATCCAAGCCTACAGCCTCGTCTTACTCCACGACGCTATCGCTGCCGCTGGACATGCACGTTCGATTAACTCGCCCACCCCCTTTCTGCGACCGCTGCCATGAGTCCGCGACATGATGCGCCCAAAGACACCGCAGCGACCACGGAGCCCAAATTGGACGCGGGCAACAAGGGCCACGATCACTATGCCCAACGCCTGCCCAGATGGCGCAATGCCCTGCGCAACCGCCTCATACCCATTGTGCGCTGGGAGACGCCATGGCTCGCCCTGATGCAGGACAAGATGCGCTCGCCCGCCCTCGACTCCTACTTCGCCTATACCGCCAACCTCGGCACACATACCTTCTTCATGGTGTTCCTGCCCATCCAGTTCTGGTGCGGCTACACTAGCATTGGTCGAGCGTATGTCAGAAGCTGTCTCTCACTATCGTGCGACGTCTGACGTACATAGAACTGTCTTCATGCTTGCAGCCGGTGTGTACGGAACGGGTTTCCTCAAGGACATGCTCTGTTTGCCCAGGCCCTTATCACCCCCACTTGCCCGTATATCCATGTCCGGGTCCGCTGCGCTCGAATACGGCTTCCCCTCGTCGCACTCTGCCAACGCGGTATCGGTCGCCTTCTATGCTATATACACGTTGCGCCAGTCAGCTGAGCAAGACAATTCGAACTGGAATGCGGGCTTACAAGCGCTGTTCTACTTCTACGCGCTCTCGATCATTGCGGGGCGACTGTATTGCGGCATGCACGGGTTTCTGGATGTCCTGGTCGGAAGTATAATGGGTGCTTTAATCACGGCATTCCAATTGGTCTGCGGGGACTGGATGGACTCGTTCGTCTTCAGTGGCAGTTATATGGATATCTTGATCGCAACGTTGGTCGTCTGCGTTCTAGTCCGCATCCATCCGGAACCTGCCGACGATTGTCCATGCTACGACGATAGCGTATCCTTCTCCGGCGTAGTCATTGGGATCAATCTTGGTGCATGGCATTACGCGCAGACCGGCTATGCCCTGAAAGATGCATACCCCTCATCTGTGCCATTTGACCTGGAAGAAATGGGTCTGCTGAAGGCAACAATCCGCATTCTACTCGGTGTTGTAGTAATCTTCGTCTGGAGAGCGACCATGAAGCCTGCCTTGTTTACTATCCTGCCACCCATTTTCCGTCTTCTAGAGCAGGCCCGTTGGAACATGCCTCGCGCCTTCTTCCTCAACGCGTCCAAGTACAAGTCCATTAAGCCTTTCGCTGATGACGACAACGTCATTCCACCTGCATCAGAGTTGCCACACATGCTGAAGAACCTCGCCCACCCGCGTAAGCGGTCTGTATCCGTTGGGCCACAGTCTGCTGCCGATGCTTACGAGACGCTTGCGTACCGAAATCGCAGACGACGGGAAAGTGTCAACTCACTAGATGGTACGGTACCCGAAGACTCCGCTTGGATACCCGGCCCCGCGGTCCTTGATACACCCAACATCGAGAAGGGGGAACCGCTACTTGGCGCAGGTCTCCTGCCCACACCGATGGCGTCTAGGGTACACTCGTACGAGCAGATGATGGGCACAGGTGAAGTGCATGTAAACGAGAAGAATACGTCTACTCCTCCAAGGAGCGATACAGACGTCGCTGGCGATGTCAACACGCTCACACAAAGCCCAACCGAGGAGGAGAACGAGAAGCGGGAGATCTTCATGAAGCTTACGACACCACGAGTGCGCTATGATGTTGAGGTCGTCACGAAGTTGATTGTGTACACGGGTATGTCACATGCTATCAACAGAAAATCAACTACTAATTATGATCAGGTATTGCGTATATCGCTGTTGCGGGTAACCCTATTCTATTCGAGTTCTTAGGCCTGGGTATGGGTCAGCAGTCGTAGTTGGTCCGGGCCACGCTTATGTCACGTTTTCTATCGCTGTACATATGCCGACACAACCGGATGGTATTGGCGAAATCGATGGACGGTCTCAAGGTTTCTTCTTTCTTTAGAAGTCGAGTCTAGCCATGGAACATGGGACAGTCGTTGAGAATGCCAGGGAGAGTCTCCTGGTAGCCTGGAGCTACCTAGTGGTGATTGAGGAATAATGGGCGTTATTTCGTGGTATTCAGGGCGTATATACGTCCGGTGATTCGCTTCTATAGTAATCAGGCTACCCATCCGATCTCCCATGGAACGATAGCGTACATGAACATGTCATGAGTATAACTCGATGAACACGGCATGACATATCCATGTACGCTATCGTTCCATGGGAGATTGAATAGGTACGCCTTATACAAGAAAACAGCTAGACAGGCTTACAGACTACATTAACCTAAACTCTTGCAAAGTGTGTAACCTAACGTTAACGTAAGCTCTAAGCTGTTCAGTTTTTCTCTAGGTTGGCGTGGGATACTTATTAAATTTGGGGAAACATATGAGTGCTACTCACGGCAGCTTACAACATAGAGTTATAAATGCCTAATCATTCATGCATCGACCCTATACTCCTTCAGTCCCGCATACGTACCACCTTTGACAATCTCCTTCGTCTCGCCCATAGTGCCAAAGCAGCAATGTTCCACCTTGCCCAAAGGCCCCTCCCTATGATCATCCTCAAGGAGCACACCAAAGCGTAACTTCGTCTTCGCCAGCTCCTTAGGAAAAGGATCCCCGCCCAAACATGCGCCAACGCTCAAGTGATCCAGCGTAGGATTGCGGGTAGTAGCCATGATGCGTGAGAAAAGCACATCAGATGCTACCCCGTTCATGTGAAGCGACCACGCGCCGACCAGCATGAAAGTGAAAGTGATTGCGATAACGATTGCATATCCGATCCATAGAGAGTGTTTGTAATATACGTATACCATCATGGTTCGTGACTTTGTGCAAGGCACTTCTTGGGTCTGGACCACGACTAGATTCGGGTCGTTGAGGAGAGTGATGAGTATATCTTCGAAAAGGTCTTGTATCTCTGTCTTCAGATCCACCAACGGGTACGAGGTGCTGCTGTTGACTAGACGCGTCTCAGACAAATCTGAGTAGGTGATGAGGATCTTTTGTTTTTCGATCTTGCCACGCAGGAAGCGTCGGAGGAGGGAACCTAGAGTATGGAAGGAAGCCGTTACTTTGTATTCTTCGACATTTTTCTGGGGCTCGATGGGATGGTTTCCGATGACAGGACGCAGGAATTCTCGTTCCCAGCGGGTTGCGGACTGTCTGGGATTGTAGCTCATGTTGAATGTATATTTGGTGTACTGCATGACGCATTTGAATAGCTTTGGCTCTGTAGAAACGGACGTAACAAGTAAGTATATCTCTTACATGCGCTTCGCACAGCCAGAACTTACCATGTAAGTTTCCCCATTTGGCCTTGTACTCTGGTTCCGCATCTTGGGAGTACGACTCGGAGGTGTTGATGGCGTAGCCGATCCAGAGATTTGGTTCCTTCTCGAATACGCCTAAAGACCCTGTACCATTCACTGAATCTTGATACCCGTAATCACCTTGATCAACATCTGCATTATAAACAAGGCTTCCATTTGGCGCCAGTTCAGATAATGCGAATGGCGCGTCGGTATCATCAGTATTCTCGACATCCTCGCATTGGTAGCCGGGTCCCACGAAACTTATTGTGTATGTACAATTCCAGCCCGATCCGCAAAATACGGTAGAAGCGTTTTCGCGCGGCTGTGGCTTCTGCATGTACACACTACTGAAGGCCAAGCGGCGCGCGTTCTTGGACGGCTGATCGTAGTAGTCGAAGAAGCTTCCTGTACCCGTTGCCGCGGAATAGACATCTCCATCTCTTCTTTCCTCTTCGGCTGGCTCAGTGGTGTTATAGAAATTCAAGCTCTTCTGCCAGAATTTACTCATGTCCCGAAAGTCGTATGTAGACTCCTGGGTGAAATTTAGGGTAGCTACAGAGCAACTGGCAGTGTTGTTGAACGTTCTTAGCTCAGATGTTAGTGAGGCTGGGGATAGAACGGATGCAAGTGGTAGTAACTTGGGTAGGTCAGCACAGATTTGTTGTGGAAGTATTGGAGACTTGCCCAGGTACAGGCTGCCATGAGCGTAGCAAGCTTGCCGTTTCGGATCATCTCCCAGTTGAGGAAAAACTGCGTCGGATCTTCCGTTGCAGAAAACAGGCCATCAATGCCATTGATCGTCATCGCCTTTCGTCGGAAGGTATACCATATGCGCTGACGGTTACACATGATGACAGTTCCAACCAGTGTGCTTTTCACAAAGAAGGCCAAGGCTGTACCATATCGCACCATCTTCAGTTGCTCGGTCGCAGGCTTCCCATTGAGATGCATGTAAAACAAGTGGTGACCCACTGCTGCCGCAAACCCTGCCATGAACAATGCCACTATGAGAGCCGGTGTTGTCCAGTATATGTGCCATTGAACCAGTTCGCCAGATCTCCTGTCGACGAGAGCTTGGGTATCCGCATCCATGGTCTTCTTATGATAGAGCGAGTTTAGAGTATACGTAGACTCTCTCGCTGAGCGTATGGAGTGGCTGGAGATGTCGTGTTCTCCACGCACCGGCTCATACCGGCTGTCACCATGTGGTAGTCCTAAGTAGGCTCCCGCCCGCATTGCACCCTCATCGTGAGACTGACCCAAGGATTTTGCGTGAGGTATGTGTGCCTCTCCACCATCTGACGACAGCCGTGATAGATATGAGAGCTCGATCGGATCGGATTCTGCGCGGAAGGGATCGTAGGGTTCAAGACGTGATTCCGGCGAAACATCTCGTGAGGAATAAGCCGACTGAATCCCTCGAAGAACCATCGTTATCGCAATGTTGTGAGTCTAGGAGGGTACGATTTTGGGAGCATAGGATGATTGCGGCGCGGTCCCGGGGTCATTAGGAAAACACCATAGTGCTAGCGTTCAGCGGGGTGTTGCACATGCAATACTGTGGGCGTATGCAGCACGACAATAAGAGGAGGGCATCCGGAAGGCTCAATGAATGCCGATGCTGTCGCATGCAACTATCTCAAGGACGATCGGGATGGAGAAAGCATCGTGCCCGGGACTGAGCCCCCACTTCTCCATCATCGCACCCTCAGGTGTGGTCTATTCTGGTCTGGCGAACCGAGATGAGGCGTAGGCGGCGCGCAACACAGGAAGGACTGGCTATTGGTAGATAATTGTCGCACTAAGCGCGACTGCAGGTGGCTGGCTGGAAGCTGGAGATACTTAGTAGCTGGGTTAGATGTACACCAACGATCACACCTCATAAAAGAAAAACCCGAATGGGTCTGCAGACTACATCAAATTAGAAACTTGCAAAGTGGGTGATCTAACGTTGACGTAGACTCTAGGGTGTTCAGTTTCTTCCTAGGTTGGCGTTACCAGGTCGCGCGTGCGGAGGTGCTCGCTCTTACAACTTGTAAGTATGACAAAAGGAAGCTACGCAAGAGACATCTACCGCATTCGACGTTACAGCCTATATCGCCTATCATCTTTCCGAGTGTAGTATAGTGGGGTGCCTCAGAAAGACGAATCCCTTGATAGAAGGCAGTAGAAGACGGTGCGGGGCATGAGTAGGCGCGAAGCCACGCGACATCCTCGCGTTTCTCCATCGGACCCACTCCGCCTACCTGGAGCTTACAAATGCGGTTCCAGCGACCTTTGCCGACATCTGCCATGTTGCGCGCAGCCCAAGGCTCTAAACTGCACGTTTACCGGAAATCCGAGCAATTCCCGGCAAGGCAAGCAGAACATCGGTCAGCTATCCTGACAAACTCGTCTTCGAGACCGGCAGTTCGCCTTTGAAATCATGGCGACAACGCCGCCATTGGGTCTTCCCCGTGCGGCCAGACTGATCGCCAACAGTTCAGGAAGCTAATGATCCATGATAGCCGCAGTTACAGGGGAGCTACAAGCTGTGACGTGAACGCGGGCTAGCTCTTGTTATTCTTGCGTCACTATTCGGACCTTCGACGACCCCACATGCACATGGCAGTACATAAGGAGCAGGCACCGTCATGGCAGGGACGTCATAAAGGTTCAAAGGTCTTTTGTAGCTCCTTCGAATTCCCCATAACCAACACTCACACACATAATCAACTACAACATGGCACCATCAACGACAAAGGCATGGACCGTTCAAGGCCAGGATGGCTTTGAGTCTCTCAAATTCAATGAGCAGGCCAAGGTACCTGAAATGGGCGACAAGGACGTTCTAGTCAAGGGTGCATAGAGCTCATCGAACAGCCTCCAGCAACAATACTGACCAATGGACAGTCCACGCCGCATCATTGAACTACCGCGACCTTATCATTCCCATGGGCAAATACCCCTTCCCGATGAAGGACAACACTGTGCCTGGCTCGGATGGCGCCGGCACTGTAGAATCGGTCGGCAAGCGCGTCACACGCTTCAAGCCTGGAGGTTCGTATCCCTATACAGACCCACGCCAACCTAGGGAAAACCTGAACAGCCTAGAGCCTACGTTGACTTTGGGTCACCTCCTTTGCAAGGTTTTGGGTCAATGTAGTCTACAGAACTGTTCAGTTTTTCCCTTGTATGAGGTGGACCAACGCATACAGCCTTCTAACATCACCCAGACAAGGTAGTCACCCTCTTCAACCAAGGTCACATCGCCGGCTCCCTAGACGCACAATCTCTCGGCACCGGTCTCGGAGGCGCCATCGACGGTACTCTGCGAGAGTACGGCGTTTTCGACGAAGCTGGTCTCGTCAAGGCCCCCTCCAACCTGAACATGCTCGAGGCCTCTACCCTCTCATGCGCCGCCCTCACAGCTTGGAACGCCCTGTACGGTCTGGAGTCACGCGCTCTCAAGCCTGGTGACACAGTCCTCACACAAGGTACCGGTGGTGTATCCATCTTCGCTCTGCAATTCGCAAAGGCAGCTGGCGCCCGCGTCATTGCGACAACCAGTTCCGCACAAAAGGCCGACCTCTTGAAGAAGTATGGTGCCGACCACGTCATCAACTACAAGGAGACGACCAACTGGGGTGAGGAAGCCGCGAAGCTCACTCCCAACGGCGCTGGTGTACAGCACGTTGTCGAGGTTGGCGGCCCGACCACGATGGCACAGTCTCTCAAGGCCATCGCCATCGACGGCGTCATCTCCATTATCGGTTTCATTGGCGGCGGCGGAAAGGACCAGCCTACGTTCCTCGACTGCCTTAACAACATCTGCACTGTGCGCGGTGTATTGGTCGGTTCAAGACTGCAGATGGAGGATATGTGCAAGGCAATTGAGGCAAATGACCTGCACCCCATTGTTGACGAGAAGGTGTTTGAGCTCAAGGATCTCAAGGACGCCTACCAATACATGTGGGACCAGAAGCACTTTGGTAAGCTCACTGTCAAGGTTGCATCATAGAGCATGCGACATAGAGTATATAGTACAGTCTAATTTACTGTAAACACTACGCTATGCTATAACACAATTGTGCTTCTCGCTGGCTAACCAGAACCCGCCCGTCCCCCCAGCGAGACCAACTCGAACCCCCGAAGAGGTGAGTCGAGGTCTCAAACCAGGAGGACTAGGGCAATGTTAAAGAACTAGCTACAAGAAAGAAACCAAATACAAGAGCCTCTCGCTGGATGACCAGACGAGCGTACCACGTGCCCTACTAAGAAAAGAAATTGAGCCTCTCGCTGTATAAACAGACGAGTGTACCACGTGCTCCGCAAGAAAAGAAACTAAGCCTCTCGCTGTATAAACAGACGAGCGTACCACGTGCTCTGCAAAAAAAAAAGACCCCGAGGCAACTACCAAGGTACAAACAAGAACAAACTGCTCGCCAAACAGACCTCTGGACAACTACCAGGGTACCAAAAAAACAAAACTCCAACTATGCAAAAACTCAAGCCTCTATGGGCGGTGGGGGGTATCATGGGGTATCAGGGTCGTAATGTAACCGTCGTGAAAAACCTCGTAAGCGACTGAACTCCATGCTGTGCGCCAAAAACAATGCGAAAAGAGAATCCGTGTGTTCGAATGAAGAGTGGAAGAGTTGTACTCATTCCAGCTCGGTGGTGGGATGGCCGGCCAGCAGAGTGGTTGCGATACGCTTGCGTGCATCGTCCATGCCGTCGGTAGAAAGGACACGAGTGGGAGCGTCGCCGCGGATGAGGGTCAAAGCGTTCAGGAGAGTGAAGACACCGCAATCGCTTCCGTTCTTCTGTTGCTCACTCCTCTGGCCAGTCTCTTTATTCCACTCCGAAGGAACCCAGTGTTCACCGAGCTCCTGCTCGAGGTATTTGACGAGCTTGTCGATGTATGTTTGTCCGTCAAGACCCATAGAGTCAAAGTACTCAATAGTGCGTTCCCGGGGATAAACCGCGAGCAGACGCCAGTGACCTCTGTCGCAGATAGGATAGAGGAGAAGGTCGGCGTCGAGGTACTGCTTGCCTTTCAGCTGAAACCTGTTGGTCCAGCGAGAAGTATCGGCAGTCTGGTACCAGAATGACGAAAAGGCGTGAAGGGGCGGTGCAGGACCGTTGCGCTGGTGAGTGAAGCCCATTTCCTTCTTCTTTGCAGCGATGAGAATAGAAAGATACTCGTTGACGATGCTGTCGTTCAACCATGCCCTGGGGTCACCGTTGAAGACGCGAGGCAACAGAGTCGCAAAGTCTCGAGCGTATAGCTTGTCGTGAATGACGAACTGGTCTGGCTTGCGGCCGTATTTGGTCTTGGCTGCGGCGTCTTGCAGTGCAGCTTCTTCCTCGGGAGTGAGCGGCGCAACAAGTGGCTTCTGTGGCGGTGGAGGAGGCGGTGCCAAGGCAAGCTTCCTCTGCATTTCCCGCTGAAGGTCTTCGAGGAGTTCCAGCGAGAACTCGCACTCCAGGAGCGATTCATCGGGTGCGTCGAAAGCGTCAACTGAGACACCGCGCCAGCCGCCATTTTGCGCAGGAGAATCAAGAAGGGTTATCTGTGGGCTGCTGTCTGCTGACGAGCGAGAAGATGATGACGCCTGGCTGGCATTTGATGCGCCGCCATCGTTGTTCTGGAACACATTGTGGTATTCCCTGATTGGACTTGAAGTAATCGTCTCTAGCGTGGAGTCGAGCATCTCGCTGACTTTCGTGTCGACGTAGAAGGGCTTGCATTTAGCATCCTTTTCCCAACGCACTCCCTTCGCTCGCGGTGGAGATGACGCATCAACGAGGAATGATAAGTCGTTGGCGTATTCGACTTCAGAGGTTTCAGTGACCTCAGGGAGAAAGGACAAGTCGTTGGCGTACTCGAAGTCGGGGACGGCAGCTTCGGTTTCAGTCTTTGGTTGTGATGGAGATGCTGATGACCAAGCATTCGTGGAGTGGAAGGGGTTCTGGTTGAATGACTCGGCGAAACTGTTCTTAGCTTGCTCGGTATCGGCGAAACCTTCCTCCGTAGACTCGAGCGCGGCATTGAGGCCTGCGATGCGCTTGCGTTCCCTGTACATCTGTGCCTTGACCAATTGGCGTCG